AAACTTTAAAATACATGAAAATTTCAACGTGCTCGTTTTTCGTGCCTGTGAGTGTATTAATGTTGTTCTGCAGGAACTTTATCAGTATCTATATTATTGTTTGTAAAATCCTTAAGTGACTGACTCACTGATTAATCACGATCCTGCTCAAACCACTCGAAATTCCAGTTCCAAGGGGGTGAAACCAATATGTGACTCAAATATTGGTTGATTCTAGGGTGTAGAGGTTCGATAAGAAAGAGATTTTTTCGAAATTCCAGTTCCAAGGGAGGTGAAACCAATATGTGACTCAAATATTACAATATTTTTTATTTAAAAACGGTCAAGTTTCCAAAAAACAGCTTAAACACGTATATTTTATTTTGTTTTTTTTACATATTTTGAAGATTTTTTAAAAATGTATACAGGGTGTTTCGAAAAATCTGCTCATTGATTAATCACGATCCTGTTTAAAAGCGCTTGACGTAAAAAAAGCTGATTTTTGGAAACCGGATTGACTTTAGGGTAGAGAGGTTCGATAAGGAGGGATTTTCGAAACTCTCGAATTCTAAGGAGGGTAAAACCACCCCTTTCAATATTAGAATATTTTTATTTAAAACCGGTGAGGTTTTTTCGGAAAAGCTCTTAAACACGTATATATTTTATTTTGTTGTTTTACATATTTTACTATTTTTTAAAAATTTATACAGGGTGTTTCATAAAATATGACCATTGAGTAATCACCATTCTGCTTAAACTGCTTGACGTTTAAAGCTGATTTTTGGTAAACGGATTGACTGTGGGGTCTAGAGGGTCGATAAGGAGGGGTTTCTCGAATCTCAAATTCCAAGAGGGTGGAAACGCCCCTCAAATATTACAATAGTTTTTATTTAAAAACCGGTTAGTCTTTCGGGAAAACGCTTGGACACGCATAATTTATTTTGTTTTTTTTATATTATGAAATGTTTTAAAAAACCATACAGTGTGTTCCAAAAAGTTGGGTAATTGATGAACCACGATTCTGCTTAAACTGCTTGACGTAAAAAACTTATTTTTGGCAAACGGATTTTTCGAAAGTCAAATTACAACGAGATGAAACTACCGATATTACCAAGTTATATAATAATATCGCCATATTGTTTTTTCTCATGCTGACATAAATGTGAAAAAATTGTGTCCAGTTCGTATGTTAAGGGAAATTCTTTCTTTGCTTTATCATCACCATTACAAATGATTAATTCGACGCGATCGAAGTTTTTAATGCTATTGATCCTACTGTGAGCATTTATCAGACTTACTCTTTTTTTTTCCACACACGAAGCAAATTTTATATTATTTTTTTGTGGAATTTAACAAGAGGCAATATCAATCCATGTAATTCATTTTTGGAATCCATCGGAAATGGAATCTCCTCGGCAGGCAATAATCGAATATATAATACGACTCCAATAGGATATCGGCGAAAACGATTTGCTGAATTCAATTCCTGGGCGGATATTTTCTTCAGTTCGATCCCATTTAAATCCGCAAGTTTTTTGCATAAAAAATAATGGTAAATCGATTTTTTTATTGTGGCACGCTGCACGCTCACAGGCTAAAATTCTAAAATGTTTTCTAAAATTTTTCAAATATTTTTACAGGGTGAGTCTTAAATAAGGCTAATATTTTGAGGGGTGTTATATTTTGACTTCAGGGATCAACTCTACCTTTAACATGTTTTGATTAGGGAATGCAATCCCGCACCAAAATCTCAATCCCGCAAACCCGCGGGATTAAAGCAATCAATCCCGCGGGATCCGCAAAATTGCGGGATTGTAAGCAATAAATGCTCCTCTTTGTACTTAACCTATTAAACTTGCTAATATAATGGTTTTATGCAATTAAAAACAGGCGATAGTAGCAGAAAAGTACTTATTTCATATTGGTTCAATACAAAATATATCAGTTGTTCAAGTACATAGTTTTAAGGTTGCATGCATAACTTACATTTAGCTGTAAAATCATCTTCAGATTTTAATAAATGATCAACCAAACCAAACCAAACTAAACTTGAGCTTTTATTCTCTTTGTAAACTACACTGGAACTCATTTTAGTGATTAACTGGTTTACATTGGACGTAATACAAGTAATCTATTTAACTAAACTGCCGGACATAATTATCGGGAATCGGGACAAGCAAAATTTTAGGGTAAATTTAAAGTTGAATATCTCTTGAACTAAAAAAGATTTTGGGATGCGGTTTGGACCAGGTTTTAGACGCATCTATTGTGATCCTATGATGCTATGTGGTTTTTGAAAATATATTTAGAGAATTTTCGTATACAGGGTGTTTTATAATAGTGTACAAATTTGGCCAAGAATCTTTTTTACCGAAAATTTACAATTTTTGAAAAATCGAAATTTTAACTATGTACGACTAATCTGTATTGAAATTGAAAAAAATACAATTTGGTGGGTTTTTTAAAAATTTTTGTTTTAAGGAAAATACGAGGTTTTTTCGAAAAATATGCATTTATAGTCATACATTTGGTCCTAAATGGTACAAAAGGCATTGTACATTTTGCATAGGCCCACAATATATTGATAGAGCGTGTATCTTAAACTAGCTGTACAGAAATTTAGACTGATATATACAAGGTGTTCAAAAAATATATTTAATATTAAGTAAACTTATTTATTATAATTTATCTACTTATTTTATAAATAAAAATATTATTCTGATGTTGAAGTTTTTTTTAACTTGTGTTAGATATCTGCTTTTAGATACACTCTATATCAATCATTTTTTGGCATATGCAGAATGTACAAAGCTTTTTGTACCATTTAGGACCATACGTATGACTAAAAATGCATATTTTTCGAAAAAACGTCGTATTTTCCTTAAAACAAAAAAAAACAAAAAACCGATCAAATTGTTTTTTCTAATTTCAATACAGATTAGTCGTACTTGGTAAAAATTTCGATTTTTTAAGAATTGTAAATTTGCGGTAAAAATATTCTTGACCAAATTTTCACACTCTTGTAAAACACCTTGTATACGATAATTCGCTAAATATATTTTCGAAAACCACATAGCATCTTAGTCACAATAGATGCATTTAAAACCTGGTCCCAACCACATCCCAAAAATTTTTTAGTTCAAGAGATATTCAACTTTAAATTTACCTTTAAATTTTTGTTTGTCCCGATAATTATGTCCGGTTATTTGACGAAATTGTCCACAAGTACTAGTTAAACACTTTTCTTCACTTACGCTGCTTACGCACATATGCCAGAAAGAAATCTAACAACTAACGTGTTTGTTTCACTTATTTTTAATGGCCAAGGCGTATGGGGAATCCCCCGTGTTCCGAGCGTCGACGCATCGTCCCGGAACAAAGCGGTTTGACCTTGATCGAGATCGATTCGGTTACCCAGTAGTTATGTGTCAATCCCGCAAAAAATCCTGTATGGGTATTTCGCCACTGCAAGAAAATCTACAAAATAAAATAGTTATTTTTTTTTGTAAACACTGCTGCGTTAATCCAAAAGGAAACTACTTGTCAGCAGTTAGGTTTAGAGATATACAAATTTGCCTAACGAACAAAAACTGCTTAACGTTTCGGAAAGTTTATCTCTTTCAGTCATCGGAAGCAAACAAAATACAAAGAATAAAGAAAAACACTTATTTAAAATATTTAAATTCAACCATTCGAGAACACTTTAGTTTTTTTAAAACAGATACGTCTAGAAAAACCGTTGACGTTCTGTTAAAATGACATTATATCAAGTTAAACTTGAAAATTAACAATTACTACTAATTCCATACATAATACTAATAAGGAAAAAATAAGAAGGATAGGAAAACAATATAACAGAACATCTTTCAAAACACAAAATACACTTAGATCCATTTTATCAAACAAACAAAAAATGTAATATACAAAATACCATGTGAATGCGATAAATAATTTTACATTGGCGAAACATCGAGACCCTTAAATGTTCGAATTAATGAACATAAATATTATTTAAGAGAGATTTTCACAAATCTAAGATTTGTCAGCATTCATGGAACACAGGGCACAGAATAAATTTTAATAACGCTAAAATTATAAGGAAAGAAGCGATAGCCTCTAAAAGAAAAATTAAAGAGGCTTTTTTAATACAATCTAATAAAAATAAATGTATTGCTCATGCATCTGTAGATGTTGGTAATGTATGGCAATCGCTTCTTTGATTTTAAAGAATATAATATAAATAAACATAACATACGAAAGAATTAAAAAAACTCATACAGAAAGTTTGGGGCTTTTTGGTTTTACCTTATTATGTAATTGTTATCAGGTAGTAATTGTTAATTTTGAAGTTTAACTTGATATAATGTCATTTTAACAGAACGTCAACGGTTTTTGTAGACGTATCTGTTTTCAAAATAGTTGAATTTAAACATTATAAATAGTTTTTTGCTTTATTCTTTGTAATTTTTTTCATTAGTAATATAAAAAGATTCAATTTAGGTATATGCAGTTTTTTTATGTCTGTTCTTGGCAGTTCTGATCAGATTTAAAATTTATAAAAACAATCTGCGTTTCAGTTTATGAACTTATTGTTTTGTGTAACAAAAATGCAAATATGTATATTTTTAGTTTAAATATCCAATCAAATACATTATTATTTTATTACTATTTTTGATTTAACGTAATTGATCACCTAACCCTTATTATTTTTACCTTTTAATTATTATTGAAACTAATAATTCTTTTTTTTAGACTCACGAGATACTGGTCACCCATCACGTAATTCCATTGACGTGTTATCATCACCAAAAATTTTAAACGTTTATTCGGACTTGAGCGATAGCAAGCCAGACATCGAAGAGATAACAATATCTGAAAGTTGCATACAGTTTCCTCAAGCTAGTACAAGTGAAGATACAAATATTTTAAAATATAGAGAGACCAAAGATGTAGAATTTAAATTAGAAACGAAACCAAAGAACAATAAAGACTGTTTTTGTTACTTTTGCAAGTCGTCAACAATGGCCAACAATTTTGCCAGACATCTTACCAGATGTCATAAAGATGATCCCGAAGTGCAACAAATATTAGCCTTGCCTCAGAAGAATAAATTAAGGGTTATGCTTATAGGAAATCTGCGTAAAAGAGGAAATCATTTGATGTACACTATGAACAAACGCATCACACCTGTGCGAAAAACGAAAGCGTTCGACTCCAGCAAGTATTTGCCTTGTAAATATTGCCTGGGCTATTACAGCCAATCCTTTCTTAGTAGGCACGTCAGTGCTAAACATAGTAAATATAAAGTTGGAAAGGGCCATCACAAAGTCGAAGGTCAAAATATCCTGGTCGATCATTTACCCATCGACAAGCATCTTAAACGTGTTATTTTCCCTAAAATGCGACCAGACCTATGTTCTTTGGTTGCTAAAAGAGACCCACTCATTTGCAAGTACGCTGCTTGGTATCTGAAACTTGAACAGAAACACAACCTACAGATCTGTACTTTTAGAATGAGGGAACTTGCTAGGTTGTTGATGGAAATTCGAAAAAGAAATTCCGCTATTAAAAATCTGGAAGAAGCACTTCGCCCAAAATATTTTGATCTTCTTATCGAGAGCATGAAGGGTTCGATAAAAAAACCTGAAAATTTGTACCCAATTCTTAGGAGATGCTACGACCTGCTAGCTGCTGCGTCTAATTCCAATGATCAGAGTAAAGCAAGAATTGTTAAATATAAAAGTCTATTTGAGAAAAATTGGCCTTTTGATCGATCTGTATCTTGTAGAACGCCCAGTTCTTATAACGTGACGATGTTAACTTTAACAGAAAATTTAAGAGTGTATAATAAATATCTTTTAAGGGAAACCAGACGTGCAGCGGAGCTGCTAGAAATTGAGAAAGACAATAATTTTGCTTATCGACTCTTGTTGGAGACTGTTTTTTGTACGATGGTATTTTTCAACAGAATAGATATCGATGAGATCCAAACACTGCCTTATCAGATATTTAATGAAATTAGTTCTGAGGATATCAAGCCTGAGAAAGGTGGTAAACTCACTGAACAAGTATTATCTAAGAGTATAAAGATGGTAGTAGCAAAGGAAGACAATGTATGTATTTTGCTTACACCCGAACTTGAAAAACTTATAACAATTCTTATAAATTTACGATCATATTACGTGTCAAATCCATCAAACAATTATCTATTTTTTCAAGTTGGCTCGGATGTTTCAATTTCTGGACATGATGTAATGTTGAAACATCTGACAAGGTCCCGAATACCGAATAGAGATGTAATGTTTGCGCCACATTTACAAGAAACAATTGTAAATCTTATTCACATTCTACATATGAATATTAGTGATACTGATCATTTGTTATCCCTGATGGGACTTATTATTGATGATGAGGATGGCTATCAGATTCACGATGCTTTTGAAATTGCTAAAATAGCCAAAATTCTTGCTGGATTCGAACAACATGATGACGATAAGTTTTTAGGAAAATCTTTAAATGACATCGAAGTAAATGTAGAAGAATATCTACTAGATAATATTTATGAAACTTGCCAAAAATTTGATGCGAATATTAAAAATACAAGTACCAATGTGAATATTAGAGATACCAATGTAAATATTAAAGTTAGCAATGAAGATGTTAAAGATGCGAATGTAAATGCATCATCATCAACAGATGTTCCGAAAATAGACACTAATAAGGAAATAACTAAAAGGAGGAGGATGTTGGTACCCTGGAGTGAAATTCAAAAAAAATTAGCTCAAGAATTTTTCATACAGCATATTGTCGATAAAAAACCACCGAAAAGGAAGGAATGTGAACAGTTAAAACAACAGAATCTGGGTGTTTTCGATAATAAGACTTGGGAGCAAATAAAAGTATACATTCAGAATGTTTATTGTAAAAAATCGCAATTGCTTTTGGTACTTCCAAAGAAAGAAGATTACGACGAACAAATTTAAATGGCATATTATATTTTGAAAATATTGTTAGTTTCACCAAAGAAACTGTATGTTTTTATCATGTATTTTTCGTGTCATTTCACTGTCTTTATAACTACACGTTTATACAGGTTGTTAATTTGTTTATTACCTAACCGACGCGACGGAACGAGTCTGCAGAAAACCCTATAAGTGCATGCGTTCTCAATGGGCGGTGTTGCCATTCTGTCCTCCTATAAGTATCTGTCCAGTATATGTACCGGGTGTCCCACTAAGAATAGCTCTCGGCTGTATCTCGGAAAGTATTAGTGTGCGGAAAAAAAAATTATAATTAATGAGACCATGAGAAATGGCTGGAAATTATCTTCGAGTTTGTAGGACGGCCGCTAGAGGGCGTAACTGCTATGGAAAATAACAAAATGGCATTTTTAAGAAATTGTGCCTAGATACGATGTACTATAAATAATAGCTTCATAATCTTCAGTAAATTTTGCATTTTTGTTGTTAGAATCATTTTCCCCTATCTGCTAAAATAAAGTGGTGGGGAGGTTAGATCTGTTTTTATTTAAATATTAATAACTCCGGACTGGATGATCGGAATTCAACAAGCGGGGGCTCGTTTAAAAGAGCGTTTCTTACTCTATATTGTACCATATAAACAATAATATATTGTACCATATAAACAATAATGTTCATAATCAAGAGGGCTAGTAATACCGTGTTAGAAAAATAAGGTAATTAAGTGCTTATATTTTCGTATTTATTATAATTTTGCTAATAACTTTGGGTTGAAAAGAGATATCAAGATACGGTTTTCGCTGACTTGTTAAGTTTTTATTACTCTTTACTGTCAGCTAAAATTCCATATACTGTCGCATTTAATTTTTTGAAAAAACGCGCAATGTTTGTTAAGTTGTAAGACAACGCCCCTAGCGTCTACGTTCAAGAGCTTATTATTATTGTTTATATAGTATAATATAGAGTAAGAAACGCTCTTTTAAACGAGCCCTCGCTTGTTGGATTCCGATCATTCAGTCCGGAGTTAAAATATTTTAAATAAAAACAGGTCTAACCTCCCCCACCACTTTATTTTGGTAGATAGGGGAAAATGGTTCTAACAAAAATTATTCAAAATTTACTGAAGGTTATGAAGCTATTACTTATAGTACACCTTATCTAGGCAAAATTGTGTAAAAACTCCATTTTCTTATTTTTTGTTGCAGTTGCGGCCCCTAGCGGTTGTTCTACAAACTTGAAAATAATTTCCAGCAATTTCTCATAGCCTCTTTAGTTATAAATATTTTTTCCCGCAGGCCTTACGGCTAATACTTTCCGAGATACAGCCGAGAGCTATTCTTAGTGGGACACCCTGTACATTAGGGTGTACCAAAAAAAATATATATATTTGTTCTCTTTCGTTACCGTGAAAATATCGTTCAGGATGATGAAAAAAAAAATTCTGGTAAGGTTTGAGATTTTAATATTAATATTAAGAGGTGTTTATCGTGATTTTCTATTTCCCTTTTAAATAACACGGGGAAACATCTTTTTGAATTTTATTACGTTCTAATAACAAATCAGCGTTTTGTAAAAATCAATACATATTCTTGTAGGAAATTGAACGGCCTTCAAAAAAGGTCTGATATGAATTTTCATTTAATCGACTCGTTTGAATGTTATGGAAGGTGCACGTTAAGCTTATAACGCACTGTATAATATGATATACAGGGTTGTTCACCACATACGACACGGAGTATTGTAGCTAAACGATGAGATTTTTAGAAATTGTAGGTTTTGGGTTCGTTGAAGGACTATTAGAGCTACAATTTAAAAATATGTTTACAAGATACAGAGTGTCCCAAATAAGTAAAAAATATTATAGTTGTATTTTTTTTAAATGGAACACCCTGCATATTATTATATTTTTGGATTCTACGATTGAAATAAGGGTAAATTTCATTAAGGTTTATCTTACTTAAACCTTACCGTTTGTGAAATATTTTCAATTTTATGAAATTGCAGTAAAAATTTTAAGGCTTGATTTCTCCAAGGGTATCCAAGTTTTTAATACTCAAAATTTACTGAAGATTATTTATTGATCAGATGTTGTGCTGCAATAATAAAAATTTTACTACCTTATACAGAGTGTCCAAAAAGTTATATTAAATAATTACAATCTTTAAACGGCAATAACTTGTGTAATTTAAATGGAACACCCTGTATGTTTTACGTGAATCATATGCAAAATTTAATTGTTTATCAAATTTTATTATACCATTTTTTACCCATCTTTTCAAGTTTTCGTAGAAAATGCATTTTCATATAATTTAGACCTCATTATCACTATACCTATGGAATATTGACATTTCAGGTTTTTTTAAAGAAACATATATGTACAAAATGTACAAGTGGTAAATATTGCAACCCCATTGGTATACAAAAAAACTATTTAAATCTTTGTAAATATACCACTATTATTTCTGACCAAAAATTAGTTAATTACATACTTTTAAATCGTTTTAATTAATAAAGTATTCTAAATAAATGTGCATTTGGCTCAGAAATCAATATAATAATAAATAGTGAAAATGAACGTCTCTGTTCTTATAAATAAGCATTCGTCAAAAGATGAAATAAAATTTATAAGGTGTTACTTTTTACCACACTGTCTAATACACACACAAAATTCAGTTTTTTAGTATTTGGAGCAATTATTATTAATCAACTTAAACAGTCAATTAATGTAGTTTGAATACTGGGATCATATTAATTAGTCCTCTTTAACAAAAAATGTTTAAACATTTTTTTTATTTTTTAATGAAATAAACGAACTATATCGACAATATTAGTATCTGTACTCTGTGAAAATTAGTTACATATTTAAAAATGATCTAAAATGTCAATATTCCATGGGTATAGTGATAATGAGGTCTAAATTATATGAAAATGCATTTTCTACGATAACTTGAAAAGATGGGTAAAAAATGGTATAATACAATTTGATAGATAATTACATTGTGCATCTGATTCACGTAAAATATATAGGCTGTTCTATTTAAATTAAACAAGTTATTGCCGTTTAAACCTAGTAATTATTTACTATAAATTTTTGGACACTCTGTATAAGGTAATAAAATTTTTATTATTGCACCACAATATCTGATCAATAAGTAATCTTCAATACATATTTAGTATTAAAAACTTAGATACCCTTGGAGAAATGAAACCTGAAAATTTTTACTGCAATTTCATAAAATCGAAAATATTTAAAACACGGTAAGGTTTAAGTGTGATAAATCTTAATCAAATTTACCTTTATTTTAATCGTAGAATCTAAAAATAGAATAATATACAGGGAGTTCCATTTAAAAAAATACAACTATAATATTTCTTATTACACTCTGTATCTTGTAAAAATATTTTTAAATTGTAGCTCTAATAGTCCTTCAACGAACCCTAAACTTACAATTTGTAAAAATCTAATCGTTGGCTACAATACTCCGTGTCGTATGTGATGAACAACCCTGTAAACTAATAAAATAAAAAATAGTAAAATAACAAACTAATAGAATTCCAAAAAAAAATTGTTTCCCCGTCTTATTTAACGAAATATACGAAATAGATTAACATAATAAGAATATCTAATTTCGTTATGAACGAAAATCACGATGAGACTCTCTTAATATTAACATTCAAACTTTAGAAGATTTTTTTTTCATCATCCTGAACGATATTTTCACGGTAACGAGAAAACCACTATAATAATGCTGATAATATTCGTTTTGAAAATTTTAAGTGTTTGTTTTGTATACTTATGGAGTATTTTATTTTACATATTATTGCTATTACATCAATATATTCTCTTTAATATACTCTATGATTAAGAAAAGATGTCTTTAAAATTATCTAAACGTTTCCCTTCAGTTCATTTAATATATTTCTTTCAAGATTCAAATTAATACAGTGCATAATTTTTTCTAGGACTGCCAAACTCCGATATTTTGCAACAAAGCGAATGGAATCAAGCTAATAGCAGTAACAACAACCCGAAAAATATCTTAGAATGTAATGGCAGTCCATTTGAGGTACAAAGTTTTAGTATTAGTTCTCAATTAATGGATGCGATGCCAAACATTGATGAAATATCAAAAAAAGTCACTAATCAGAAGAGGAGGATTTTGGTACCCTGGAGTGAAATTCAAAAAAGATTGGCTCAAGAATTTTTCATACAGCATATTGTCGATAAAAAACCACCTAAAAGGACGGAATGCGAACAGTTAAAACAACAGAATCCGGAGGTTTTCGATAATAAGACTTGGGAGCAGATTAAAGTATACATTCAAAACATTTATTGTAAAAAATCGCACATGCTTTTGGTAGTTACAAAAAAAGGGGAAGAATAAGAAGAATTTTAAATGTCATATTAATTCGTAATTTTGTTAGTTTTTCCAAAGAAAAAATGTGGAAAAATACATGTTTTTTATTATGTATTTTGCGTATCTATTACTGGTCTTTATAACTACACTTTTTTAGATTTAAGATTAAAGTCTAAAGTATGTAGATATACAGTGTCACAGGTAAAGTCTGCATCATATGGTATTTTATTTTATTACTTTAAAATAGATTAAGAAAATTACGCTGTTGCTATCGGGTATTTGTCAAATTTAACATTAAAAAAATAAATGACCAAAAAACGATTTTATTGCCCAAATTTTGAAAAATTTGTTTTTTTTAAATTTTACATAAGTACACGAACTTTCAGCCATCTACAGTATGTGCCCGTATTGCCTTTATAAGAGGAACACCTTTTGTTGATACTATAAGAAAAATGCTGCTTTGTTCTAAAATGGTTAATCCGGTTTATATTTTTCCAAATTTTATAACGTTTTGGAGAAAACCAAAAAAAACATTAAAATATGGTTTAATTTTTTCTTGTAGTCCTAAAAACAAAAAGGCGATTCTATGGTATTATCAATTCGATGTTTCATTCTTTGATAGAAGGTTATTATTAATTTTGATTA